ATTAAAAAGGGTGAGGGTATAGTTGAGGACTATGAGGAGTATAGAGGAAGATTCATAAAGAATTCTGCAAACTGGAAGAACATTCTAGAAATATCACTAAGGGTATTCTGGTCAATAGCAAAGAGGCTGACATCAGCAGTGGGAGGTCATGTGCTTTGCATTCAGTAAATGGCAAAGAATAGACCCAGCTGGAAATCAGAGATACAAGTCAGATTTAGTAGTCTATTACAGTGAATAGACTGTAATTGAAGAGTAAGAACTGGAAGAGATTCAAGTGCCCTTCAAATTGCAGTTGTAATTGGAACCAAATTTGGTGGGTTAAGGATAAGTTGAAAGATGGGTACAAAAATAATTCTTGGCTTGCTGATCCTAAAGGCTACTCAGTTGCTAGTAGGTATGCTTGGTTAACTCAGGAATCTAATAAGGTTGATTAGTGTAATTGGGGTAATTGGGTTTGGAATAGATTCAATGTGCCTAAACATAAATTCATTTGTTGGTTGGTTATGTGGAGAAGGATCAAAGTCAAGGCTCACCTTGCTAAGTTGGGCATTACCAGTGATGATCTTTTCCCTCTTTGCAACCTTAAGCCTGAAACTGTTGATCATCTATTTTTTGATTGCCAATATAGCAGAAAAATGTTGCTTACAGTTGCAGACTGAGATTAATGTTCATGTTAATCCTGAACATATTGAGGACTGCAATTCTAAGCTTGAGCAGATTACTGGAAGGTTCAGAGGGAGAGTCATTCAGAGTTGCTACGCATGGCTTATTTATTGTATCTGGGAGCAAGCAGAGAAACGTGGTTTAGGACAAATGTCTGAGAAGCCCAGAAGCTGTGATCAGGGACTTGAAGTTTGATATTTTCAGAGAATTAGTTTTGTTATGCCAGAAATAACAGAAGATGGTTTAGAGGTACTCTTTGTAATTAGTGTAGGGTTGGTTCTGTTATGAGGTGTTGGCTGGTTGTGTTTGTTTGGTCTGCTCTTGTGGCAGAGTTGTAAATGGTTGTTTGTAATTAATGTCATTATTTTAGCTTTTTCAAAAAAAAAAAAAAAAAAAAAGAAAAAAAAAAAAGGTGAAGTTAATGGGGCCTAAGAAATGATTGCACAGTTACAGAGTGCATGTATTTAGAAAATAACATACTTTGAGTTTTGCTACCACTAAAACACCCTATTTTACATTTGCTACCTGTTTAAAATTTTGTTTTATTTTGCTATCTCCAAAAGTTACAATATATAGCTTTTGCTACCATTTAACAGAATCTGTTAGGGTTGTTAAATGGGGTCCATTATCTCATTAAATAATGATTTAATTTATTAAAAAAAAAAAAAAACTAAAAAAAAATTAAATAAAAAAAATCCCAGCCACTGCTCCCCCTCCCCGTCAGCCACCCCTCCCCCATACCCGCGCCGGCTGCTGGCGACCCAACAGGTGAGAACAAAATCCCCAATTTCATCTCAAATTCTCCGCCATTTTAACCCCCAAAACCTTCAAATTCCGGCGAATTTCCAGCCGAAAATGGCCGGCATCAATTCAATTAAACCCAAAGAATTCCTAATTTCACTTTCTCAGACCCTTGATTTGGCTTGTAATTTGGTGGATGGTTCGATTTCTGGTTTGGTTTCGAGGGGTTCGCATTTATTGAGCTCGATTGCGCAGATAATTCATGATTATGGTTGGGAGTTGTCTGATTGTTTTAATGATTCTGATTTGTTAGGGGCTGTTAGGTCGAATTTGGTTGTATTATTCTCTCCTACTCCTGCTCCAATTACTGGAAACAATGGCGTCAAATCAGATTGCAGGTTTTCCTGCGTTTTCACCTAAGATTGAGTAAGTTCCGGTGCCGAGAGTGGGAAAGGGGAGAGAGGTGGGCAGCATGGGTGGGGAAAGCGGGGGGGGGGGGGGGGGGGAGGGTTGCCGGCGCCGGCACGGAGATGGGGGAGGGGTGGCTGACGAGGAGGGGGAGCAATGATTTTTTTTTTCTTTTTAAATAAATTAAATCATTATTTAATAAGATAATGGGTCCACTTAACATGTTAAATGGTAGCAAAAGCTATGTTTTGTAACTTTTGGTGGTAACAAAATAAAATAAATTTTTAGATAGGTAGCAAAAGTCAAAACACGGTATTTTGGTGGTAGCAAAACTCAAAATTCCCAAGTTTTAATAAAAATATCAAGTCACTGGCCTTACTAGAATAATTATACACCAATGTGTAAAATAACTTTCTAGAGAAAACTAACATAGGTTGTTAAGGAAAATAAAATAAGTTCTCGGAAAAAACAAGTTAGTGTTTATAAACGTTAAACAACACATCACTAATCAGAAGGGAAAAAAAATAAAATAGTACAATATAAAAATTAAATAAATTCTGCTTTGAAATCAAAGATCAGTTAATAAGGAGCAGGTTTTAAATTTGTACTTTTTCTTCTTCCATATGATTTTAGTATTGAATTGTTGCTTTTTTAACTACTTATATTTTCAAAGAACAAACTTTGAATTTGAAAAATGAAATTATCTTTGGAATCGTATATCCAACAAACTTGCAATAAATCTAATAATTAATGGAGTGAACTGTGGTAAAAAAGAGATAAAATCATAAAATAGAAATTAAAGAGAGGGAAAATGTAGGTTGAGGAAAGTGAAAATGGAGAAAAGAGAATTGATGATTTACGTGAAAGAGTGGTTTTAGAGAAAGAAGTGGTGGTTATAAAGAAAAAGTGACCAGCTGATGTGTAATTGTGTAAATGGTATAATGGTTTGTTTCTCGAGTTTCACATCTATCTTTATACTTCCGCTCCCTAAATATTGCACCAATTACTTTTTAAAGAAGTTTCACAAAAAAAACAAATACACCAGTTCTTTTACAGGAAATTCAACATCTCTTTTCAGACTACATTTTAGGTGTTTCACATGGTTTTTGTAGCACCCCCCCCCCCCCTCTCTCTCTCTCTCACTATTTATACACTTTCTTAGAACTTGTGCCTCCTCCTCCCATGGTGCAATGTTAGGGTAACAGAGGAAGTCATTTTGTAAGGTCTAGGGTATGATATTATTTCATCGTGTTATATTCTATGGGGAAGTAGCAAGTCATGGGTTTCATGTAATCTTTTGTTAGTTTTATATTGTCTTTTTACTAGTGTGCGTGTTTCCTTTTTTGTTTTTTTTTTGTTTTTTTTTCAAGCTAATGTTTTGTTTAGAGAGTATATGTGTATTCATCATATATGCCTTGTTTGGCAATTGGCTGTTAGTATTGGCTGTTTGACCATTTGTTGTATGTAAATATGTTTGGTAAAATCAGTTGTTGGCTGTAATTATGCAAAATGACCTTAAAGGACATTATTATATGTTCTTATTCCTAGTTACTAATTTTTAATTATTAATATTAATTACTAATATAAAATACTAACTATTCATTACTTAATTATTAATTACTAACTACTAGTTATTAAGTACTAATTACTAATTATTAATTACTGATTATTAATTATATATTACTAATTACTAATTGTTAATTACTAACTATTAATTATTAAGTACTAATAATTACTAATTACTACTGTAACCATTAATTATTAAGTACTAATAATAACTAATTACTATTGTAACTATTAATTATTAAGTAGTAATAATAACTAATTATTAATTATTAACTACTAATTATTAATTATTAACTACTAATTATTAACTATTAACTACTAATTATTAGTTATTATCTATTAATTACTAACTACTAATTATTAATTATTTATTGCTAATTATTAGTTATTAATTATTAATTATTAATTATTAATCAAGGATAAAGAAGTAATTTGTTTAATGAAAAACCAAAAGCCAAAACCTAAAAGCTAGTAAGACTAGCTTTTTGTTTTTGGCGGAAAAGTCGGCTTTTCAGCTAAGCCATTTACCAAACATGTATCTTGGCTGTTTGACCAAAAGAAAAAGCCAAAAGCCAATCAAAAAGTCAGCCAAAAGCCATTTACCAAACAAGGCCGTAGTTGGAAAGAAAAGGAGGCATGTGAATTCATCATATAGTTGGAAAGAAAAGGAGGCAAGAGGAGAAAGATTCAAGAAGCCTAATCAAACTAAGGATTGGAAAAATGCAGAGAGAACAGGACATAACCAAAAGTAAGGGGGTCAAAAGTTTAAAACAAAAGTCAATTTTTGAGCTTACAAAATTTGAACTATTCCTATCTTATAACAAAATATTTTCTCCGCTATACTGAATTAAATGTTGTTCGGTAAATAAAAAGCACTATAAACCATGTAAATAATAATATTGAAATTTTGACTTTTACCAACAAAAAAACACGAAATTGTTTTTTAACAACCAAAATTTCTAAAAGTTTTATTTTACCACCAAATAAAAATTTAAAAATTGTTTTTCGCCACTTGCCGTCAAGATAACCATTAAATCTAACGGAAAATCAAAAATTTCTTCAATTTTCGTGCCAAAAAATGTTTTTTAATAGTTTTTGGGGTCATATTGGCCCTTTTTGCTACGATTCGAGGTCAGAATTGACAAAAATCATCGCAAATGTCTTGTTTAGCTTACTAAAAGTACCTCGATTTTAGTGACATGCAAAACGAGACTTTCCAATAATTTTTTGTCAATTCTGACCCCAAATCGGACCCAGAGGTCCAAAATGATCCCTAAAACTATAAAAGAGCATGATTTTAGCACGGAAATCGAAGACATTTTTTTAAACCGTTAGATTTAATGGTTCTCTTGACGGCAGGTGGTGAAAAACAATTTTTAGAATTTATTTTGAGGTAAAATAAATTTAAAAGTTTTGGTGGTAAAAAACAACTTCGTGTTTTTTTTTTTGTGGTAATAGTCAAAATATCCTAGTAATATTTTAATTTATATTTGTGCTTCCCTTTTTGTGCAGCATAGATTGGTATTAACTAGTAATCATAAGCCTATGCAAGTTTTGAGAATAAAAGAGCAACCAACTTCTAAAGAACAGGTGCTTTTATTTCACATCTGCTTAATGCTTACCTCCTTGGCTCCAGGAATTTCATAAATTGAGCGTGGGCTGTCATCTGAAATATACATTGCATATGCAGAATCATAAACAATGATTGACCCATTGTCCTTGGCAAATTGCACCAATTTGGTTAGTTGCTCTCTTGTCGCAGAAGCACCAGTAGGATTGTTTGGTGAACAGAAAAAAATAATCTCTGTCTTTCCAACAGCAGACAAATCTGGAAAGAAGCCATTCTCAGGATTACACCTCATGTACTCAATTTTACCATACTTCTCTGAATCCTTCTGATATTGTCCTGTCTGGCCCATTATAACGCTTGAATCCACATATGCCTGCAAACCCAAAAAAAAATAAAATTTTGTACATAATAAGAGTTAATTAAAAATATGAATCACGGAATAAATTCCTTCTGTACCTAAAAAAAAATTATTAGATAGATAAAATTTTATGAATTCATTCAATCATATATTTCTAATCCCGACACACCAACACACTACTGGTTAAACCTCACCCTTTGACTATGATCCTTAACATATCCCAAAAATTAACATGGATATACACTTCAGGATGGAGATTGCATCAATAGATGACCAAACTTAAGTAATACTTTGATTCTTAAGTCTAAAAACAACTAATTGGTAAAAATCTAGAGCCAATTCACTTATTATCATCAGAAAGAAAACAACAAAAACCCTGGTGAGGGGCACCAAAAGGATGCAATATGCAAAGTACACAACAAAATATCTGACATTCATCTCTAAATAAATATCTCATTACTTTGCACAAAAAGAAGGCACAACAAAAATAATGACATGTACAATCATGGAATTAGAAATAAGAGGATCTTATGGTATTACAGAACGACAATCAATCATGTCAAAGTTGGCAGCAAGAAGGTAAACTAGAAGGACGGCTTCATTGATCTTTAGAGAGAAGAGAATTTACAGAGAGTTTTCTGAGAAGAAGATTACAGAAAAATAGGAAAAGTGTGAATGAATATATTTAGCTCTTTGACAGCTAAATATATATTACAGGAGTTTGTAACTAACTTGTAACAAACTTATTTCCTTAGCTGATGTCAGCAATCTAATACTCATGCTTCTTGCGTGTGTAATCCAGCTCAGCTTCACACATGCTCTTTTATTTCCTCATCATCATCAGTCATTCTAACAAATCAAACACGACACTACTTCCCTAGAAGAGGCACAGTGGAAACAGTCAGATGTCCAGCTGCCCTTTACAACACACCATTTCCGTGATTCCATCTATTCCACAAGTGCCAGAAATTTGACAGAGAAACTAGCTACCCACACATTTCATCGGCAGCCATCCTCTCTTGTGACTTTTCCCAGTTTTTTTCTGAATTACAATTCTTACAAACTTAAATTAGATGACTATCAAACCTTTTTGTTCTTCTCAGTTTAATGGACATTCCTCTTTCTGTTTTAATCTTAAAAACCTAGAATTTAAATACACTATCCATAGAATAAAAAAAATGCATGGTCGTGACTGAAGAGCCCATAAATCATAGATAATTCAACTAAGAGACATTGATGTAGTAATGAATTACCTCCATTTCAACAAAAAAATATATATATATAGGCCAAATTTGAGCTTAGTACTGACCACAAATTTGCAGAAAATATGTACTGATGTAAAACAATCATATGTGAGATTTATAGTTGAAATAAGGTCACCCATTTACTAATTGAATCATCTTTGGAAGGAGACTCACTATAGAATAGGGAAATTGCCTATAGTTTTAAAAAAGGAAAGATTACAAATTATTTATTTAAGAAAATAATAACAGTTAAAATTAAAGAAAAAAAAAAAAATCAGAGTGGCCGGCAATGAACTATCCCCATCACAGCAAATTTTCAAAGACTACGCAGACATGAATACACCAATGTAACACCCCTGCGGCGCAGCACATCTAAGGGCATCACAAACCAGTTATGCCTCAAACTTCCATGGTTTAAAAGACCAAAATCCCTCTAAGAAGCTATCTCCGAAAGTATAACTCCACATAGCTATTAACAGAAAGATGTATCATTCATTGAGGGAGCTAAATCAATTAAGAATGGCCATACGCCACCAAAAATAAAATCAAGGAAAAGCTCTTAGTCAATCCTTACTATGTCAAGTTCAGGTTTCCCCATGTTGAGTGGATAGGTGATGCCCTTCCGTATTGTGACAATAATTCCCCCGGAACCTCAAAAAATTAACCTAAAAGTAACATCTGCAAATCTGGTCATTAATAGTGAAACTTGATGAGACAATAACCCCTTCTTCCCCTAAATTGTAAGATTCAATGAACTTCTCACGACTTTGCAATCCAAACACTTCTTAAACGATTCAATTGGTATGAACGACATTTTTTGAAATGGAGGGATATGATTCCCTTACGGATAACGAGTACAAATGACTGTAGTAAAAAGCCACTTACAAGCCATTCTCTTCAACAACATGAAAAGAGATGTAACTTAAAATAATTAACCAAACCATAACATACCGGGTACGATGGGTCTTGCACAGCCATTGTGACATCTGATCCAAAAAGCATCTGCCATTGAATAAAAGGTAATGGTACATAAGTCATTTAATAGTTATTTAAGAGTAGGAGAGAACTTGGGTTACTTAGGCCTATACAACACAATCATCTTCAAAATCTCCCCACAGGTTGCTATGGAACCCACACTACCAAAAGGCACAAGCAAAGAACATTTGAGCACCAATGGGGTTGAGAAATGAAAAAACTAATCCACAAAATAAAATGTCACCTACATGTAAAAAGACAAAACCTTCAATTTTTTCAGCTTCATAACAACCAATAAAGTTGAGACAGCCTTTAAATTACCCCCAAAAAAATAGAAGGGGTTTTATAGATTTGTTGCCATGTTAATTGGTTGTGTATGAGTGGTTTTCCCATTTAATCGTTTTTGTTTCCAAAGCATATACATTTCCCAAAGTATTAAAAAAAAAAAAAAATCACATTTCCTACAATAAGTAATAAATTATGATTGGATTTGCAAACAAATCCTCACTTAAACGGAACAAAGAGGTGGAAACAGCTAATATAAAGGGAGTAAAATAGTGGTAAATCCTATATTATAAGGATTGAAACAATGTGAATTAATTTTGAACAAAGGGTGTACTGATACACTGATAAGTACTATAGAGAGACACATCTGATAACTCATCAAAAACCAGTCTCGTGATTACATAGAGTATACCTGTAGGCGCGCTATATCACACTTAGCTCCATCTGAGACAAATATATCACCTTCTTCAATACCAAGGTTACCATAAAATGTTGAAGCAATCGCAGCTCTTACTTTCTAAAAACATAAGCATTGTTAGTCATCCTTACACATACAATAAAAATATAACAAAGGTAATGAGAAAATTGTGCAACATCGAAATAATCGGCCAATAATGTACTATATAAAAAAGATGCACAATACATGTAAATATGTAATGCTTCACTTTGAACTTCTACATAAAGAAACTCAATTAAACACGACAGTCATAAAACTCATAATTTACTTCCTCCGTCTTTTTAAATGCATCACTTTTGAAACTACAGACTCCTAGACAATTTTTGAATATGAGAAAGAGAATTTATTAACTAAAAAGGAAAGTGATGCATCTAAATTGAAACATTCATATATAGAAAGTGATGCATCTAATAAAAAAACCGAGAGAGTATTAAAATCATGAATAGTTATGCATGTTACACTTCACCAGACAAAACTTATCAACTCCATTTGCAATTACAGCTTTTAAAGCCTATTAATTGCAATACTATCATCAAAAATCATGAAAGTGTCAGAACCTTGAAGCTTTAGGGATATGAAAATTAATTGGGTGCAAAGTAAGAGCAAAGTCAAAAACACCAAAGTGACCTCCAGGTAGAGAGAACATTGATCCATCCCTGGTCTCCCTTGCTGCAGTTGCATTTGTACCATTTCTTTAGTCCTACTGACATCTTAAGCAACCAGGGCTAGTCAGCAACTCAGCTCCTCACCAAGAAGCTGATGATACGCTGCCCTGAAGAACTAGCACAAGGAAGGCATCCCAGCAAGCGATGAAGCATATCTGATAGGTGGCCTAAACCACAGGCTCATCAATGCAAGCAATTAATGCTTTGGTTTATCTGGACTTATATTGATCCATTTCCAAGTATACCATATGTCAGACATGTCGAGGTTAAAAATTCTTACAGACTGTCTTAGAATTGGACACGGATTCAAGGACATGACATTCATGAAACACACTCTTGAATTTATACATAATTTTTCATGTTTGCTTACGTTAAGTCATACATATGCACACATTTTTACTATATATCACATAATATTCCCTTCACTTTCCTATAGCTTTACTTCAACAAGTGGATCGAAAATAATTGAGGTGTTGTGGTCAATATTGAAGTGTTGAGTATTGATTTTTAAATCACATATCCACTGTTGAGATGGCATGTTTCTAGCATGTCTGCTTAAGATATATGGAAGAGTTGAAGCCATGTTTAATTTAGACTCCTAACATTCCACCTAAGCACACCTACAACACCTGCAATTTAGCTGAAAGTTACACTACATGCTATCTCTCAAACTCCCTCACTTCATTGTTCTCCCTCCTGCTCTCCTAGTCTACACCTGAGAGAAGACCTATGTTAGTCGGATACAGTAAAATTGGTCAAAAAAACAAGTCGACAAATTTCAGATCCTCCAATTACAACTTTACAAGTCAGATGCATCTCTACAATATGATATACATATCCAGACAAGAGATGAAGAGAAGGGAGGAAACGAGGGAGAAAAAAGCATATAAATTCAAAATTGGTAGTGTTGAAAGGAATGAGAAGGTTCAAATGTACAATCCTTTCAGATCAAAATATTTTCATCAATGGTTCACCTTTGAGTTAAGCCTTGCCATAAGACAATTTATCTACTCATGTTTCTATCAAAAGCCACAATCCTCCACTTCTTTTTGTGGAGGGGAGATTACAAGATCCCCAAAATCAAAGAGCACTTATAAACTATAACAACCTTAGTCCACTAAATCGCCAAATAAGTAGTTACCGTAGATGCACGCATTCTATCCTAACCATAATCATCACATAATTTCCATAAGAGCATCATGCCACAACAACTTCTTGCCCCAAAAAAATACTTGTGAAAATTCCACAATAAATGGGAAAAGCAAGACTTCCCACATAAAGTAGATAACCTATTTTCGGTATCATCTTTACACTTTCTCCTAAGGGCCATTTAGATCCTTTCGGTATCATCTTTACACTCTGTCCTAGGGGCCATTTAAATTCTTTCTATATACTCTCATTAGTTCTATAAATGTAAAGTTGTGTTGACTCCTTAGCCTTTACAAGGCCGGCTCCAATGAGAGCCAATAGGGTAGTGAAAGTTAAGTAACATATTACAAACACCATGTAAACATCCCACATACTCATACATCTAAACAACCTCAAACATGAATTAGCATGCAAAATTAACATAGGGAACAAAGTAGTGAAGGAACCAAAAAAAAAAAAAAAAAAAACAGACGTTGACAAATACCTTTTCACCTTGTTCAGCTCCATAACCACTATAGCCTTCTAGTGTTGAAAGATCATGTGCTCGCTACAAGTTTCATAGACATAAAAACCATGTGAACAAAGAAGATTTTTTTTAAAATGTATAAAATGAAAGTGAGAGTTAATATAAATAAAAGAGTGAAATCATATATTGATAGGTATGTAGAGTTGCAATCGTACAATAACCAAACATATGAAACAGTTTACCTTAGCCATGGCAGATGTAATGACATCAGGAATGGGCTCAGTAGTGTCACCAATTCCAAGGCTTATCACTTGAGCATCTGGATATTTGGCCAGGTGCGCGGCTCTTCTTCTGGCAACCTGTGTTTTTAAATGATCATGATCAAATAGTCGTCTTGTGGACAATACTATGAGTACAATTCAGAGCAATCTCAAAAATTGAAAACGACATTGATAGATACCAAGTATAATCATAAATAAAATAAAATAAAAAAAAATTAAAAAATTAAAAAAAAAAGACCTCGGGAAAGAGATAGCCGGCTTGCAGCTTAGCTATATTAGGATTTCGGGAGACCTTGCTTGTGTAAGCTGATATTCAAATAATAAAATCAAATTACAGAAAATGAAAAAATCAAAAATACAAAATTAACGATAGTTTATCTTCATACCAGTCTGTGGAGTTGCAACACATTTAAAAAACCCGGGTTTTTTAACTCTAACGCCAACTATCTGAACACTGCAACAGACACCAAATTCATTAGTATTAGTAATCTCTAATCTCTTCTTAACATAAACAAAATATCACAACTTAGAGATATATACAACCTTGAACGAGTAAAATCGGAGCGAGCAAATATAGAAGACAAAGAAGAAGAAGGTGGAGCAGACGCATTTAATTGATGATTGGCCACCGACATTATAACCGTTGGCGGAGATATCGATGGTCGGAGATGGTCAAGGGAACTCTCCGGTGGTATTTTCCAGTCGCCGGAGTTTTGGGGGGAAGGAGAGAGTAGTTTCTAGGATGATAGGGAGTTTTAGGGTTTAAGAGGAAAGAGAGATAGGACTCCTAGGATGATAGGGAGGTCCGGAGGGGTTAGGTAGTTTCTGATAGTCTTACTAGTAAGGGAGATTCTTTTACCGATGGTTTTGTTTAATTTTCAACAGAACACCAATATTAGGAGTTTTGATGTTTTTTCTTCGGGAGATCACTCAAAACACTGCAATCGTCTAGTAAATGCATTTACGAAATAACCAATATTTCGTTAATTAGATCAAGTTAGTAAAGAAAACGAAGTTAGAAAGAGCGTTGTTATGAATATTAAATGAAATTGTTTTAGGGTGTGCTGATCTGATCTGTTTGAGCCGTGACATTACACGCTCAAACCAAATCATAGGCAGTGGGTCGACATTTGTTGTCCAAACTCATCCCATTCAGGCCTTCGGGCCGTTACTAGTTTTTAAGTTATGTGTACTTGTTTAGTAATAGGCTTTGTACTTCCATATTACTACCATAAAAAATAAAATGATACGAGTGAAATATAATATTCGGCCTTTTTTGGGCCATTGATATTTAGGGGTTGTAAAAACAAAAATATCCTTTAAAAAAAAAGTAACTTTGAAGTTTGAATGGTATCAATCTAATAGAGGGACTTGTAGTATATACAAACACATAATGACAAAGTTATTTTTTCTTTAAAAAAAAAAATGACAAAGTTCCTTTTTCTTCGATACTTGTGAGAAATAAACCTAATTTGGCATCCATAATAACAAAATAAGATATGAGATTTCATGAAAAATATATTCTCAACTGTTAGGCCCTGTTCACTTAACATTAAGAAAATAATTTTAGTTTAGTAAAAATAATTTTACTTCAGTAAAAACAAGTTCAGTTCAGTAAATATAATTTCAGTTCAGTAAAAACAAGTTCTATTCAGTAAATATAATTTTAGTTTAGTAAAAATAAGTTCAATTTAATAAAATTCAGTAAGTATAAGGAAGAAATATAATAGAAAATCAGTAAAAATAATTTCAGTTCAGCAAAAATAATTTCAGTACAGTAAAAATAATTTAAGTTCAGCAAAAATAATTCCAGTTCAGCAAAAATAAGGTGAAGTAAACAGGGCTTTATTTGTGTTTTAATTTAAGTAACTTTTTCCTCAAGAAAAAAAAAGTTTTAAGTAACTTGTTGATAGGTGTTAAGATAAATTTTACTACAGTATAAGGAATTGAAATTTGAAATCTAAGAGAAACTATCCTACCATTGACATTGTTGAAGTGGAATCTGTAATTTCTAATGAAGATGACCCCAAAGCTCTTGAACCTGACCAAGTGCAATCTTTTTCTTCACCATATACCTTCATGTTCTCTGTCAAGACAAGGAGGCATGGAAAGCCACGCATATCAAGGGCGAAGAACAAGAAAGGTAAAATGTATTACATGTATCGTTTTTGCAGGCCAAAAAGAGAAAAAGAACAAGCTTTGAGCAACTTATGGCTAGCGTTTATGATGGAATTAGTCAATCCCCATATTTTACTGCTTAACAAGTAAGAAAGTTGTACACCATCCTCGATATAGTTCTTGTGTTAGTATGATAAAGAGAGCTATACTCTCTTCATGTTTTACTTGTAATCTCGAGTCTATTGGAAATTAGTCTCTTTTATTGCCCGTTATATAAAAATAAATAAATAAATAAATAAAATTGAAATCTCAAAATAACAAAATTACTTATTATTAATATTGTACTTGTAGTTTCCACCTCCGAATAATTATAGTTTTTTGTTTTTAAATGAGGTTACAATCTGAAGAAAGAAAAGGTAGAAAAAATAACTAAGTTGCAACCAAATAAACTAGGGGAAAAAGAACTCAGTGTAGTCCTTTTTTTTTTCATAAAACTAAAAAAAATCAAAGAAAGGTTTGCATTTTTTGTTGTCAATTTTAAAATGGTTGACTTATTTATTTATTTTATCTTTCTTACAATATATATCACATCTTTGAAAAACTAATAAATTACAAAGATAAAAAAAGAACCATTAAAGTCGACGAGGCCATGTGAGCTAAGAAGGCGTTAGATACACACCAATGTGCCCTCAAAAAATGGTCATAGTGAACTTTCCTGCAAATGATTTGCACATGCCACATCCACATGGGAATATGGGATAGCTTAAAGTCTCATCACATGGGAAATATTTCAGTCAAGTTTCTTCAGCAAATTCAAAGACTCGGGACATATTGAAGTCAATGGAAATGAGATGGGAGACCACAACTAGTCAACTAGCAGTCTCTCTTTTTTTTTTTTTTTTTTTGACAGAAGTCAACTAGCAGTCTCAACCAGAAATAATACTTACAGAAATGCATGCTTATCATAGCCACATCTATATAGTCATCAGTCAATTTCTAAATATATGATTCTCTGTTCTAGCACTGACTTCTAGTACTAGATAATTCTCTGGGTTTTTTTAGAAACATACTACTACATGATACAACATACAATATGCAAATACAAAATACAATTGCAATACAGATTACCCTGGATTTTACCAACTGCAAATGAAATATCAGCTGGAACCATAATTGAGCATTTCCCAACGGAAGGGCTGGAAGAGACAGACAACATTAGGCATGCTCTTGAAAAGAAGAGCCACACACACACACACTGCAGCAATACCAACCATGGACAGCATTGCTGGCCTGTACACTAGAGATGCCCTTGATCTACTTCCATAATATACAGACATCTTCTTCTGATCACATAGCTTGCAGCTCTGATTCATAGCAAGCGACGCACTTCTTCCAACCTCAAAGCTCAGAGCCCCATCTTGCCTTGGGGCAACAGATTGTTCTCCTGGAATGTCAACCACCACATGCCCTGAAGTTGAACTCCGGTAAATCTTCCTCTGGACAATGTGTATGTAAGCATAGTGGCCCCGCAGACGAGCATAATCCTCAGGGGTAGCCCCTGTGCTATCGCGAGCATTCTTCCATGCATCAATTCCATTCTGAGCCCAGCCATACCAAGCCAAGCACAAAACCATTTAGTTTAATTAAATAAGCAAAAAAAAACAAAAATGCCTTCAAAAATAATATTTAGAAGCAACTTAACAAGTGACGAGAAGCAATAGAATTCTGTGCATACCTTTCCAGGGTCATCAGTTAGAGCGTCCAATATATCTTCAGAGCCATCTCTGCCAGCTGCAACATGGAGTGGTGTCAAACCAGCAGGTCCCTGGGCATCAGGCCGAAACAAAAACCTTACTTGGCCACCATCATTGGATGATATGAATTCTTCCGATACATTCAGAGGGGCATATCTCAAAAGAAACTCCACCATAGGCCTAGAATTTCTACGTACAGCTCTGTGAAGGATACCCATTTCTGACAATGCAACCTTCAGAGAAGAATGTTCCCCCAACCCCACAGTTCCAGCAAACAAAATGTCCAAAAGTTTCTTAACAACAGCACACCAATCATGGTCCATGGAGAAGTCCATGAGCCATTTAAACCTTCTAAAAGAAAATATGACAGTGTTAGGATCTAGGTCAGCTAATCTAGATTTCAAGTGGCTTCTATGAAGCAGCCAACCCATTTCATTAATGAAATCCATAGCTTGACACCAGGATTCTAGGGTTTTATTAATTTCATATGCTTCTTCATCGGTCTTCTTCAGCTCCAGGACATTCTCCAGAGTCCGAATCTCAGAGCAAACGTCCTTTTCTGCAACTATAAAAGGGAAGAAACTGCTGCTGAGACCATGATCTTCAACCTGGACAGTTAAGGATGCGTTAGATCAAAAAAGCAAGCTTAATGTTCTCATAGGAGTAGTTGAAAATAGAAAGCGCCAAGAAATGTATCAGTATAATTAAAAGATCCATCTAAAGAATACCACAAAGCCATATGATTTACAGGAACAACGAGATAACAGATTTTCTAATATAACAAACATCAATTCCAACTTAGATTGTCATGTCCATTACAAGCCAAAATGATAAAACAGTACGATGGCAAAACACAATCCAATAGAACACCAAGAGCTACTGAACTCTAATATTCTCCAGGAGGTTAATATATCAGGCAACTCCGCCAGTGGGTTTCCCGCTGCCAGTTCCAAGCTTGGATAAAGGAGAAGGGTTAAAGTAGGCCAGTGACAACCAGTGTCAGACTTTGTCACCACTTGACATGAGCCACAATGATTGAGAGTAATTTTAGGATGGGTGACCTCCTAGGAAGTCCTCGTGTTGGATCATATAGCTGACCCCACTTATGGGATTAAGGCGTTCAAGCAAACAAGGTTAATATCAGGCATCGCATCATAGATGGGGCAATGATAAGGCAAGCAGAAGGCAAAATGATGGAGCAACAGTCCAGCATGCATTTGAAGGCACAAGGGACAATATTTATTCTAAACTGCATGGAAAACCAGCCACGTGTGGTACAGATTTTTAAATGACAGGAAGCAATCATAATGACCAAAGTAGCTCAATAAATTGAAGAAAAGCACTGTAAGCTTGTAAAGATACAATCCATGAGACAATAATAATGATCATTTTACACTATTTTGCGGAATTACATTTAGACAAACTCAATTAATAATTGACAGACAGTGAAAAGATAGAAATAGAAATACACTTAGATAACATAAAAACTTATTCTTGAAACAGGTTCACATTTGACAAAGCATATGTCCACATGGCATGGTTGGTATACGACAAAGGAAACTGTAGTAATAAACCTTCAGCTACAGAGCAAATAGTACCTCAATAAACCCTCTTCCAGTTGCTTTTGGAATGATGCAAGACAAATTGGCATGGTCAGTCTCATCATCATCCTCAAGGAAATCGCCAACCTCTGATTCTTGAGATACTTCTTGATCAAGATATTTCCCTTCTAGAGCACAGAGTAATCTGGAAATAAAAAATGGGGTGGATTGAAAACTTTGTGTTTTAGCCCTATTCTGCGATAAGCTGTTGTAGCAAAACCAAAATAGTTCAGCATCATATACCTTGTTGTGGACTGAGAAAGGTTGAAACCTCTAACTTTAAATTGAACCTGTTCATTCATAGACACGGCTATAGGCATGACACTCAAAATTCTACAGCAATTATTATCTTTTAGAGATAACGACGTATCCAAGACAACTTCACCTGAAGATTTAAGCACATGCCAAAAAAAATGTATCATTTAATAACCACATATAAGCATAAACAGGATAGTTCACAAGCTAAATGACAAAAGCAAAGAATAACTAACCATTATGAACAATTGCTATTTGATTCTGCACTCGTACATACACCCATCCCATCCTCCAAAATGTGTCATCAGATATGTCAAAGAGTTGAGTTAAGCGCGATGAAAGGTCAGAGCAGAGCTATACACAGAAAATCAAACAAAAAATAGTTAATGTTGTCAGCCAAGGGAACAATCTGCACTATTTAGGTTTAACAAAAGTCCTACCTCCTCCCACGAGGACTCAGCCAAGCGAAGATAAATTGTTAGAATTATACAGCCAGGTCTGATGTAGCTCTCAATCTCAGTAGGACTATGAGCAAGCCAGTCAAGGATCTACAGAATTCCAAGGTCAGGATAGTAGCATGATCTTTTTACAATGCAGTAACTTATAATAGAATATCAGAATAGGATTCATATTACCTGTCCCCGCAGCATAATCGGAAAGTCATTTGGCTCTTTACCAAATAGCTTGAAAACGATCCGATCAGTACGACTCTGAAAAGTTAATTAAAGGAAATGAGATCTGTGTTTTAATTCCTAAAAAAACTCATTCAAAGGAAAAAAAATGCTTTATTTATCCGAGAAATCAGCTAATAAATAAGTTGGGACACCTAACAATGCCAAAAAAAAAGTTACCATGGGTGTACAAGGCACAATTACTAAATCACTACTATAACTATGCCCAGGCATATCAGCAAGGATACTTTTATATTACATTACTGGGACTCGGGTACTCATGCCCAAGAAGGGTATGTGTCCATGTGTTTTGCCTCGACTTATTTTAAAAAGGAAAAAAAAACGGTGTCAAAATGTCCATAACTATGTCAGAGGATTTGACATGGGTAAATGAGGTGAAATGAAGAGCCTAAGTAATATAAGTTTAATATATCTTAGAAAATAAGACATTCAGATATTGCATAAAGGAGGAGAGTTTGGACCACTTAAAATCCCAAGTGAGGTTTCATCCCATAATCAGTTGGCAACAGGATGAGCAACTCTATAGTTGTATAAGGTGGTTAAATTCTCTCCACTTGTCCAATGAAGAACAAATCACATGTGCACAACACATATATATGGTGCTTAACAAGATAGTGTGCGGAAGGAAATACCAACTACCTGAGCTTCTCCACTAGAGCTAGAAGGTGATTGAGCAGAGGCTGAGTCAGAATTGCCACTAGTCTGTGGTGGACTTGATTGGTGTGAATCCTGCCGTGCCCATGAAGGGAAATCAACAGAGCCAGTTGCAAAATTCTCATTAACAGGCGACCTTTCCAAATCTTCCATTCCATCATCTGAATCTACATATGCATCATTCAGGTCAAAATTGTTCAGCTTCATCCTCCCTTCTGTGGTCTCAGAGTAAGCTGGAGGGCTATCTTTTATAGGGAACAAACTTTTAGGTTCTTCCAAGGATACAGCCTGAATTTCACTGCCCCTACTATTAGCGGGATACAATCCCTTTCTTGGAATCTCTGAATCGGGTAGTTGAACATGTTGGTCAATGACTCTAGGGGTATTTTGTTGATCATTTGAGAGATAAGCTGACATCTTTTCTGAATGCCCATTACCAGTGGCCATACCACCATTTAGCAGCTTTTGTGATTCATGCAGGAGCCCAGATAACCCTTTCCCTGAGTGCAACCCAGAAGGGTTGGCAAGGCTTTTCAAGAGTTGGGCAACAAGATCTTGATCTGTAGTCTGGTTTGCTCTGTTATTACCTGCAACAAATAAAATCTCAGTGGGAAATAAAATGAAGAAAATAGTTGACAAAGAACGCAAGAGCCGAAAGAGACTATCTGAGCCACACAAAAACAACAGTGACAAGAGAAAAGAAAAACTGTATTATCACTTGGACATTTGATACTAGCTCCTAGTGCATATGCACATAATGCAAATGCAGCAAGGTAAAATTGGTGAAATCTGTTCTTATGTTACAAATCACCTAGACACCTAACTTCCTGCTTGAATACATATTAAGATGTACTCTTTATTATAAAAACGTCGAGCCTTTGAACATGCTTCTTAGTACATTAACAAATCACTATGACGTTATTGACGTATTTCCCACAGGCAACAGCAGTAGACGCTCTAAATGGGTATTGTTGATCGTCCCATAAAAGAAAAATGCATTCAAAGTGTATCTTTAGTGTAAGAAAAGGTATCAATATTTGAGGGGTAACCCAAGAACAAATGGATGATTGTGCTCATGGAAGTGCTCAAGTCCATCTAGCAGCATAAATACTGAGAATATGTTAACAATTTACCATAAAAACGAGCCTACAGGAGAGAAATAGAATCAATTCAGGTATTAAATAATCATTGGCAATAAGTGACAGGTGTATTTACCATGCATGTTGGAGAGTATCCTGAGTAAGCTCATCAACAGAACACTATTAGTTTGGTCATCCATGGAATTTCCCTGAACAGCTGTTTCAGGTTGCGTTTTCCGGCGCCGCTTATTATGACCAGCCAAGCGACGTCTACAGCTTCGCTTGCCTTCATCGAATTCTTGTAGAGCATGAAACCTGGCAGAGAAACATTAATGAAATATGTTACAGCAGGAAGGTCGACGACATCACAATCATCTCATATGGTACATTCCTTTGAAGGAATCTAATCTAGTAGTTGTGTTGTGCTAGAATCAGATATGATAGCAAAAGAAGAAATGGCAAAGGAAATTAAAGAGAGGCAGACCTACTACACTGCTGGCAAAAACGCTGCATGACATTGGCAACAAGAGCTTTGGTGGCTTTAGAATGCAGCTCACAGACCTTGTGACGCCTGTGATAGTCCTTAGCCTTGGTGAGATCAGCTTCACAGTCCTCAACCTGGCAAACGGCGCGAGTGGAAGAAGTCGAGGGCAACTTAGTCTTCTTGGCAGTGGAGGTCTCCCAATGGTCCCTTTCCCTGTGAGGAACACCAAGCTTTAAAGTCAAGGGAGCAGCTTCCTCCAAAGAGTCTTGGTCAACAACAAAAACCCTCCTCTTCCTCTCCAAATCCCTCCTTCCAGTTCCATCATCAACATCATCAGAGCACGACGACGAAGTGTTAGAGGAATTGCCGGGAACAGGAACAAGTGGAATGAATTGCTGACCTTGAGAGTTGGAAGGGGTGGCTATAAATAGGTCACCATCCCATTTCCAGTCATTCAAATCCCATTCAATACCCCTCTTTCTCAATTCAGAGAGCCGGTGAGCTTGTTCCATCATGGATCCTATTGTACTGCTCTGTCAATGAATCCTACTGTACTGCTCTGTCAATGAATAATTTCATCAAATAAACACTAAATTCAAATAACTAACAAAGAAAAACAAAGAGAAGGAGCTCAAACCCCAAAAACAGATCGATGAATCAAAGGTGCTGGGGGTTCTTCCCGAAAAGTCCAGAAACAGTACAGCCCAGCATACATAGGCAATAAAGAATAGCTGCCCACATGCCAAATCTGAGCACCACCTTCGTAATCAAAAATCAAACACCCAATTTCAGATAATTTACAAATATTTGAAAACCCAAATAATTAAATTTAAAAAGTGGTACCTGGTGGAGCAGAAGAAACAGGAGCAAAAACGAAGTCGGTGGGCTAAGAAGAAAGAGTAGAGGTTGGAAATGGTTGCTGTAAATAGAAAAGAAGAAGATGTAGAAAAGGGGAGTGGGAGGAGAGAGAAAGTGAGAGATGGGGACGAAAGGTTCGGAAGAGAAAGGTGGGTGATCGATCAATCAAGCAATCTGATGCTTTTTTTTCTTTTCCCTTTTTTTTTTTATGAGTCTACTGCAGTAGGAGCAGGAGTAAATAATTGTACGACTGGTAGTGGTAAATAGTGGTATCTGTTGTCCTGTTGAGGATGGGTTGACAGTTGACACAGTGATTCATACTCCGATTTTAATCAAAGGCATAAAAGTATAAAACTCTCTACTCTCAAATTTACTGGTACGTACCAATTTATTATTTAAATAATATATTTGGTACATTAGGAATGGGGCCAACACGGGAAAATATAATAATCAAAGTAATGGGAAGTGGGCGATGGTGTAATTGGGTCCACTTCCACACTGCGTGTCTCTCGCACCTTACCACTCCCACCTCCTTCCTTTGTCTCCCTTTTATTACTTTTCTATTTCTAATTGCTTCTCTTGTCTTTCCTTTCCATCTCTTGTCTTCTTTTACCACTCTTTATTTTCATTCTTAATGAGGACTAAATACAGTATATCAAAATTTTTCAATTATTTTTTTATTTTGGAAAATTTCACTTTTACAACTACTAAAATACACCATCCTTTGACTTTTACTACCTATTTCGGAGGTTTTTGGAGTCCCTCGGAAGAGTTACAATTCTGGAAATGCGCGCCGACTGTCTGTACCTGCAAAACCACGAAACTCCGGTTGGGTGCAGTTTCGCCTCCGACGATCAAGTTAGTACGTCTCCGGATGTATAACAGTGCGGAAAGTAAATGGATTTTTTCTCTGATTCAGAGAGATTCTGCAATTAATATTACTCGGTGTTTGGTGTTTGTATTTATGAGGATTTTTGAATGTGTAATAAATGAGGAGTTTCCTCTATTTATAGTAGATGAAGATCTGCTCCCTCATTAGGGTTACAATGCCACGTGTCAGCATCCGATTGGATCCCATTAGGCCTTTCAAGGGCTGCCATGTGTCAGCTTGCTATTGGGCCACGTGGCATAGGGTTTTTTACCCTAAACATTTGCCTCTCATAGGTGTGACGTGGCTTGCCATGTGGCACCTGTGACACGTGTCACATTCTGGGAAGGTGACGGTTCGTCTCCTTCCCTCATTTTTTTTTTTTTTGAATTCGAATTTCGAATTTGAATTGGAGGGGGAGGTGACGATTCGCCTTCTGCCCCCTCCTATAAATTGGAGACTCCCTCTTCTCATTTGTTACTTTGCCAATTTTCACAAAAAAATTCTTGAGAGAAAAAAGCTCTGATACCGGCTGCTCTTTCGTGTAACCAGCTTCTTCCTTTCAGACGCATCCGGATACCGGTTGAGTGCTCTTTGGATCCTCACACTAAGGTACCGTTTGACTTTGTCAAATTCCTCTTCTTGATTTCAATAGAACCACAGCCGGTCTTACACTGTCTAGGACACTTTTAAGCAATTTCTTTCATAATTTGCATTCAATAGACCCACAACCGGTCATATACCGTCTGGGGCATCTTCAAAAAATTGTCTTCAAAAATTGCATTCCATAGGCCCACAGCCGGACTTATGCCGTCTGGGGCATCTTTGAGCAGTTTTCTTTAAAAGATACATTTAATAGACCCACAACCGGGCTCATGCTGTCTGGGGCACTTTTGAGCAATTTTCTTTATAACTGCTCTCAATAGACCCACAGTTGGTCTTATACCGTCTGGGGTATCTTCAAGCAGCTTCATAATTTGCGCTCCATAGGCCCACAACCGGTCTTATACCGCATGGGGCATCTTTAAGCAATCTTCCAAAAAATGCATTCTATAGATACCGTCTGGGGTATCTTTAAGTGATTTTCTTCGAAAACGCCTGACTGTTTGTTTTGTGTTTCAGCTTTTGAAACATACACAACCGGACTCTTCCGCCTGTGGCATCTTCAAGCCACATTTTGGAAAAACGGTCAAGCCTTCTGCAAACTTCGGTTGCTCTTCAAAGAGGTACCGCTTGGGGTATCTGCAAGTAACAACTCACAGATCCGTCTGCTAGCAAGCTTTTTACTACTTCAAGGTACCGTCTCTGCCATTCGCAACTTTTTGAGTTTTTTGTATAGGTTGTTAGAGAATAATGGGCTCTCCCAACACACACACGGCACGGCCTAGGGCAGTTGTCAACCGTTCATCGGATACGGCTAAGTCTAAGATTGGGGATGCCGTCTGGGGGTGTTTGGACCACCCTTACTCTTCTACGAATCCGACCGTCTCTGTTCATGTGTAGGACAGAATGGCTCGGACAAGGAAAACGGTTGTTGACCCTGAGTACCAATCAGATGATTCAGCCGGAACTCCGGTTGATGATGCTCCTTTTGACCAACCGTGCGTACCTAGCACGCCCGGAGATGAGATTCTAAAAGAGTCCGGGAGCTCAGGCGGTGAGGAAACCGTCCAGCAATCTGACTCAACTGAGTCTATAATGGAGCCGGATGCCCCTCAAGAGGATGAGGAGGCATATAACTGGCCTTCAGCAAATAACCCAACAGAGGCACACATGAGCGCCCGGAATGTTGTGACCTTAAATGCAACCCTCCCGGCCTTCTTGGAGAAGCGTCCGGTAGGTGCCGGATGGGAGGTAATTGTGCCACTAGTGGATGCTGCCGTCGTCTGGGATGACGACCTAGATCACGCCGATAATTACTTCGGCTGCTATGAGGTGGCATTCAAAGCCGGCCTCTGGTTCCCACTCCACAACACAATCAAAGCCATTCTAAAAGGTTACGACCTTGGTGTCTGGCAGCTCACACTCAACTCTTGGGTGAACATTTTGGGGTACATAGCCGCCTGCGAGATGCAGAACGTGACGCCTAGCTGGGAGGCGTTTGCACACATGCACTATCTGAGCCGTGCCCCAGGCGGCTGGAATGCGTTGTACACATTGACCACGCATCCGGAGTACATGATGACTTTGAAGAAGCCATCAAAATGGACCAGCTGGAAGAGCAAAATCTATATAGTCTCTTCCCCTTCTCCGGCTGTGAACCACCGGCTGCGCTGGTACAATAAGAATCCGGCTCTTTTGGGAAAGAAATGCGCCCTCCCCAAGATACCGGAGAGGTCTTGGGATGCAATTATGGAGCCGGGCCTTTTTAAGAAGACTATGATGCCACTGGATGATGGGACACAAGTTATTGTCCCCAAGTTCTGGGTCCCTCATCCGAACTGGTTCAAAGACGAGTCGTTCCTTTACGCCTGTGGTCTTAGCACCTTTTGGAGCAAACGTAGGTTTATTGCTTAACCGGCGTATTATGCTGCCTGTATGGTGTTTGAATGATTTCTAACAATTTTCTTTATATTTGCAGAGAAAGGACTTGAGATAACTCCTCCCGAAAAAAACGCCGGCTAAGTCAGCCGCCGAAATCAGAAAGGAGCAGCTCGAGAAAAAGAAGGCCCCACTGGCGGCCAAAGGCGATAGGGTAAGCACCGGTTGACCTTTTTACTGTCTGTATGCCTTGCAACCCATCTTAACACTAACCGGTTGCTTTACTTTGTTTTCTTTTGCACACAGGGAGCCAGAACGTTCCTCGGTCTTTGAGGCAAATGCTGAAAAGGCCGGGTGAGGAGCCTGTCCAACCATCCTCTCAAAGGCGAAGGGTCCCGGGTGGCCCCGCGCCAACCTCAGCCGGAAGACCACCGGCTCCTGATAGGCCCACAACCACAGGCAAAAGTCTGCAAAGTCTGGGTTTGAGCTCAGGACCGGCGGAGGCCGGAGCTAGGGAGCCTGAGGTTCCCTCTAGCCGGGTGCTTGCTGTTGCATCCAGCTCTAATGCGACTGGGGGTGGTCTCACCCCTCAGCCTGAAAACCAAGGTACGGATCTCACCTTTGACCCCCCTAGCCGTTTGGACCTGTTCGAGTCAAGTCCCAAGCTTCTCAGTCAGGGGATTCTTAAGGCAGCCGGCTGAATATAGGCGCTGCTTATGCCCAATACTTAACGAATATATCTCATGATGCAGATGCCTCTTCTCGTTGGCCGGATATGCAAAGCTATGCCAAGAGAATGCTAAGCACCCTCACCCGGTCCGAGAAAGAGGCGGTACCGGGTATAACCGGGTCAACATTGACCGCATCACATCACTACTGACTGAGGTAATATACCGGTTGGGGTACTTTTGTGCAATTTGCTGATATACCGGTTGTAATATAACTGAGAATCTAACTTCTTTTCTGGCTGACCTTGCAGGTGATGTTGAGGGTTGATGGGTTGAAAGCCCCCTTGCGGAAGAAGCAAGAGGAGGTAAGGGATGCCCAGAGACGGGCAGCCGAATTAATAGATGTCTGTCAATATAACTCCCTTATGCTTGAAATCCAAAGTAAAGCCCAGGAGATGAAACAGGAGGAATTCATCCGAGAGCTTACGGCTGCTGCTGATACAGCCAACAAAAATGCTGCCGACTAGCAACTCCAAGTTAACCAACTCAAGGCTGACATCAAGGCCTTGGGGGAGGCTGACAAGGAGAACACCGGGCTGAAAGCTGAGGTCACCCGGTTGAAGGATGAGCTGGTTAAGACCAAGAAGGAGCACCTGGACCAGCTGTCGACTGAGCAGAATCGGCTGGTTACCGAGAACAAGCGCGACTGCGAAGCGCGCATGAAGATGGCATGGTCCATGATCCACTCGGACACCGACTATGCTTTCTTCGACTTGAGGTACAGATACGCTACCGAGGTATTTGACGCTCAAGTCCTCTGGACTGAGAAGCGGCGCCTTTCGAGGAATGGGCCGGCATCGAGGAGCAGCAGGCGGAGGAGAATGCGCCGGGTAGGGCTGGCGACGCCCAAACCCAGGAAACTCAAGAAACCCCTCTTGCCGGTCAGGACCAGCCGTCGGAACAGCAACAACAACAGCTAATTATTTTTTACTCCTGCTTTCATTCGGCCTGCGTGCCGTGTACTTTTGTATCTCTTTCCCCGGACAAGGGTCCGGCTGACAATTGAATTTTAATTTATATATTTTGAATTTATATATACATATGCCGACTGTGTCGGTTTTGCTTTGATGTTTTGCTTCAATTTTTTATTTTTATTTTTTATTTTATTTTTTTTTTTTTGCAATTTTGCCTTGAACGAAATTTGTTGCAATTTGAATTGATACATGCGGTATGCCGGATACATTGGCCCTTTCTGCCCCTGGATGGTTGTTTGCTTATAGTTACCAACTCTAAGCAAGCAGTCGTCCATAAGCATCCGGATGAATAAATAGACGGTCCTTGACCGTTTTAAAACAGAATTGGTCCTAAACCCAACTTA